TTGTTTCTGTGTCTTGGCTATTGTAAATAGTGCTGCTATGAACATTGGGGTGCATGTATCTTTTCAAATTAGAGTTCCCTGCAGATATATGCCAAGGAGTGGGATTGCTGGATCATATGGTAAATCTATTTTTAGTTTTTTGAGGAATCTCCATACTATTTTCCATAATGGCTTCGCCAAACAGTATAGGAGGGTTCCCTTTTCTCCACACCCTCTCCAGCATTTATTGTTTGCGGACTTTTGAATGATGACTATTCTGACTGGGGTGAGGTAATACCTCATTGTAGTTTTGATTTGCATTTCTCTGATAATTAGTGATATTGAGCATTTTTTCATGTGCCTATTGGCCATTCGTATGTCTTCATTGAAGAATTGCTTGTTTAAATCTTCTGCCCATTGTTGGATTTGGTTGTTTGTTTTTTTGTTATTAAGTTGTACGAGCTGTATGTGTATATATATATATATATATATATATATATATATATATATATATATACACACACACAAGTTAGTTTATAATTTAGACTCTAAACCTTATTGTAAGTGTGCCCATATGCAAAAAAATAAACTGAGAGGGTCAAGATTTGTTAAAATAAAAATTCTGTAAAATTTAGACACTTAACATTTTCACTATCAGATATGTCTAATAAGAACCAAAGCTGACAAAGGAACAATACATTTTCACTTCATTAAGGGTTGTTGGGAAGACTTAAAGAGATAATAATATATGTGAAGTGCTTACTTACATATAAGGAAGCCCGGTATAAGGAAGATAGTATAAGAAAGTAATATTAATTTTGTTTTTTGGTTTCTATTTAGGGTTCTCTAGTAGTTTGAGAACAGGTTATTTTAAGAACAATGTTTTATAAAAATTACAATGTATACACTTTAATTTGGGGACAAAATTACTAATTATTTCAATAATTTTTTTTTAAGCTCACTTCAGTGGGGTCTCTGAAATAAGAGGTCACACATTCAGAGTAATCTGAGCTAGGAGTCTAGGGCTTGAATTTTGATTCCAGCCCTTATTCTTTCACTTTGGGTCAATCATTTCAAAAAAGGGAATTTTACTAATTGGTCTATAAGGCGCTTCCCAGTCTATATCAGTTTTGTTGAGACTGCAGTAGAAATGCTTCTAGACTCAAGCTAATGATTTGCTATCAGGTTTCATTTAGCAAAGTTAGTATTTGTCCATCAAATACACATTCAATACAAAATATTCTTTTATGAACCAGACTTTCCATAGTCATTGTCTTCATTTAAAAAATAGTGTATAAAATGAGTTTGGGACTATTTTTTAAAAACAGTATTTTCCAGAGCTTCAAAATTCATTTATTTTTCAATGACTATAAGAAGGTATATTAGAAACATATCTGAATAAAAAAGGATCTTTCCTTTTCCATATTTATTGATATTCCTAAAAAAATTTACATTTTTTTCTCACTTAGGTTCACTCCACATTCAAACGTACTTACAGAAGTGACAATGATACCTCCCCTTACTCAAGGATAAACCACAATAAGCATCCCGTTATTGGAGTTCTAAAAAAAGGGATATAATCACTTCATTTGAAAGTGATAAGGAGGGACTGAAATAACAGTGAGAAAGTAGCCCTGAGTCCAGAGTTACTTTGTTTGTTTCCATGATGTTTCATTTACAGTAATAACCCAGGATGTGACAAGGGGCTACAACCCTTTAGCTAGGCTTTCATATTGTCAATTCACACTTTAGCTTTCATTTCCCCTTTCCCCTTCTCCTACATATACATCTAGAAATTCTGGAGTGGCAACTTGTTGAATGTCTCTGGCGTATGCTAGCACCCTTGTTGTATTGGGCATGTTAGCCCGAAATTCCTCAACTAGGAAACCCTGGGATAAGTGTGTTGGTAGCTGGTTTCAGTTGGGTTGAATCGCAGCATTCTGACGTACAAAGTATACTAGAGAGTTAATAGACCTGAAGTTTAATTCAAGGTTTGCTACCAATTTACAGTACTACCTTAGGCAAGTCACTTTACCTTCATTTAGCTGATCTTACCTATTGATTAAAAACCAATCTGCCAAGTACTGTTTGAGGTGCTGGGGACACACAGCTCCTACCCTCAACTTGCTTACCTTTTAGTGGTTGTGATGGTGGAAGCAGTGAGACAAACAATAAATGCATAAAATAAATATGCAAAACTTATGAGAACAATAAAGGAAAGAAAACTAATAAGGTAGAATGATGAGGTGGAGTGGTTTGCTTCTTGAGATAAAGCATCTGGGATTTCTTTAGGTAACTGAAAAATCAAGGTGTTGAATTGGATGCTAAGGGTTTCTTGCAGTTTGAAAGACATGTATTTTCTTCTTTTCACTGTTGTGTTCTAGGAAGGCCCACCAATGTCTTTATTCTGGAAATAAATGCATATATGTTTAAATCATGCACTGCATCCATTTTATACTTCCCAATTTTTGAAATAATCCACGTAAGAAGCAATAACTAAACATTTTTGTGTTATTTGGAGGCGTAGCTGCTGGTCATTAAAGAAAAAAAACTAACTTAAAAAAAAAAGGTTAGCTGATGCTCCAGGGTATAATTCTGTACTCATATTTATGCCCAGGGCGCAGAAAGAAAACGTCCTTACTGAGCTTTGCTGGGCGCGGGGACTGCAGCGCGCCCCGGTCCCCGGAAGCTCAGCGCAGCGCGGTGGCTATACCTGACAGCTGCCGGGACCGCTCGGAGTCCCGGAGCCCCGGAGGAGGAGCCACAGGCGGGGCCACTGGAAGCGGCCACCTCAGCGAAGAGGCAGGATTTCCGCGGGGTGAGTGCCGGTGTCGCCCGGAAGAAACGGCTCCTGCCGCAGATGTCTCGTGATTCCTTCGGGAGCCTGGCTTCGCCGGTTCAAACTGCAGAATAAAGGATTAGCGAAATATGGCTACAGAGGGCCCTGCCGTGCGTCGAGTCCAGGTGGCAGAACATTCCAGGTGGGGGAGAGGAGATGCTGCCCTTTGGGATCGCCTGGCTTGCCTAGATGTAGATAGTGTCAGGGCTTTCGGCTCTTCACTGGGGCTTTTGCCCCCGGGAGCAGACAGAATCCTTGGAATAGTCTAAGGCCGCGTGGCTGGGCTTGCAGGAAGACCACGTCGCAAACGCTTTCCACCTTGTTTCTTTCCTGCCAGGAGTTGTGTGTCTTGCTTCATCCATGGAGGTCCTTTTCCCTTCTTCTTGCAGAGTGGTGGGACACTTTCTGCTGGGCTTAGCAGGAAAACCCAAATTAATTTTGAACCTCATCTGTCTTTGTTTTGCCTGCCAGCTGATAGAGCTTTGTAAAGTCCCCTTTCTAAAATAATTGGGGGGGGGGGAGCCAAAACGAACAAATACAAGCGAAAAACCAACTCCTAAGCTAACCCCCCCTCCAAAAAAAAAAAAAAAACAAAACCCCAAAAACCTCTTGGTCTCTGCATCCTTTTAAACATCATGGAATCTAAGCGTTGTCACTTAGGGAATTAATCTGCTGCCAGTACCTAGCGACAGGATAACTAATAAGTGATACCACCTGGAGTATCTTTTTATTTAAGGGCATCTTGCGAATACTTCGTGGAAATACTTCTTTCTGACATAGGACAGAAATCTCATAGAATGAAGTTTCTGCTGCTGTGTATTAGCCCTACAGCTTTTTTCTAAGGTGGGCTTTGCTCCCCCTTTGCTATTTCTCATTTTTCTTTTTTTCTCTGTTACCTTTTTGTCTCTAACATTAAGTCCTCAAGCTCTCCCTACTTCCTGGTTTATGACTGTCATGTGACAGTTGACACTATTGCAGCTTACTGAAACTTGCAAATGCTTTTTCGCCTGTAAGCCAGCAAACAGTGGGTCTTTAGTTACCAGAAAGAAATGTAATTTTTTTTAAGGTTTATTTATTTATTTGTTAATGGAGGTACTGGTGATTGAACTCAGGACCTTGTGCATGTTAAGCACACACTCTACCACTGAGCTATACCCTCCCTCTAAGAAATGTAATTTTTGATTATGGAGACCAGCATGGCCTTAGACTGCTCGTGAATGTCAATATATTCTTCTGTTTCCATTATATGATTTTAATCATAATGCTCAATATATCTATAGTTATCCTGTGAGGGAGAGGGGGTGGTGGAAACATACACTAAAAGTGAAGAATTTTTTACTTAATTTCCTTAGAGTTGTTTCTTGCCTTTAATGACATTTACAGTGTATATTTATGCAACAAATATTTATTGTTAATATTTAGTGTTCTACGCTAGCCACAGAAGAGATCATATAGTAGTCAGGTAAGTGTGCCCTTTGCCATTTTCTTGTTTTTCACTTAATACAATTATGAGCTTCAAGCAATATTTCAGCCACTTACTCATTTTGGCAGGGGTGAGTTCAATTAAATCCAGGTGGTATAGCTGTAAACCCACCTAACTGGTCATATGTTGCGATATGCTGAAAGGGGAAAAAAAAAAAGCATGAGGGCCCCAAGATCAGACTGTCTTCTTAGGAACTTTTGCTCTTTCTTCAGGATGCCTCTTCAGCTTCACAGGTCACCTGGCCCTCTGAGTAGAGGCACTAGTCAACCACTATACATTTTAGTAAACGTAATTTCTTTTTTTTTCTCCACAGTATTTATTAATTGTTTATTTATCAAGAGAAACTACTCCTTAGCCCAGATATTCATAGTTCATAGTTTTATAATTCAGGAACGCAGGTAAGTGACAAATTTCCATGGAACTCAACCCAAAGAAATTTTTCACATTCCAAGATCGCTTTGCACCCTGAAAGATACCAGCCTTCTTCATCTCCTCAAAATCTTTCATGGAATCATAATTTCTGTAGAAATCTGCATATGCCTTCTTTCTTGGTTCAGGCACAGCAAACTTAAAGAAAGTTGCAACTCCCAGGGATACAGTGAATGCTCCAACAATATGAAATCACAGATGCTTGGCCAAAAGGCCTCACATCTGACATTTTGTCAAAGCACTTGAAGTCATGGTAGTTATTATCTTTGACAGCTCAAGAACATCCTTCCAGACTGATGGAGAAATGGCCCAATTTAATTTCTTTTAAATTCTTTTTATATAAAAATCAAATAGAAATTGAAGCTCTAATTTTTTTTTCCTGCATCCCAATCTTGCTTGCTCCCTATACTGTAAGACTACCTCAAATTCCACTGTTCTAACTTTCTTTGCATTCTTAGCGTTTTTTTTGCATTTAGAACCACTGTTGTAAATTTTTTACATTCTCTTCTCTTTTCCTTGTCTTTGAGATTAAATTTTAAATTGTTGGATTATTACTTTTTTGGTAACAACTTTACTGGTATATAATTCACATAACTAATAGTTCATTGGTTCAGAGTTTACAATTAAATGGTTTTCAGTATATTCACAGGATTATGCAGCCATCACCATAATCAAAGTTAGAACATGTTCATCACCCCCCCCAAAGAACCCTGCATCCTTAAGCTATCACCTCCTCAAACCCCATCAAGCCCTAAGCAACTACTAATGTACTTTATGTCTCTGTAGATTTACTTATTCTGGACATTTCAAATAAGTGGAATCATATAGTATGTGGTTTTTATCTGACTGGTTTCTTTCACTTAATATAATGTTTTCAAGGTTCATCCATGTAATAACATGCTATCAGTATATCATCCCTTTTAATGGTCATATAACATTCCATTGTAGTGATATACCACATTTTGTTTATCCATTCATCAGTTGATGGACATTTGGGTTATCTACACCTTTTGGTTCTATGAATAATGGTGCTGTATAAACACATTCTTAATATGAAAAATTCAGACTATTTGAAAGTATAGCCAGTAAAGCCTGAGAATCCCACATTTCCTTTCTTCATTTAGTCTCTTATCAGTAATTCTTATTCTTATCCTGTGCTACCAATTCTTACTTCCCTTCTTAGAAGTTTGTTTTGTTCTGTATCCTTGTAATATCATTGTATCCCTTTTGGTATCAATGTATCTTTATAATATCATTGTTAAACCTCTTCTATATAAAAATGGTATTATATTCATACTAAGTGGAATTATACTTGGTTTTCTGTAATTTTTTTTTCACTTAATAATATTTCTTAGAGATCTGGTATATCACTCCATACAGATAAATTTCACTTTTTTAAGGACTGAGATTATTTCATAGTATGAATGTCACAATTTACTTAACCACTTAATTACACGAGTGTACATTTAAGTTTCCAATTTTTCACTTACACACAATGCTGCAGTAAAAATCTTTCTACATATACCTTTGAGCATTTTTATATTTCTTTAATTTCATTCATGAAAATGGAATCTGGGTCAAAGGTAATGTGCATTTAAAATTTTGGTAGTTTCTTAAAAAGCAATAAAGTAAAAGTTTAATAGTTGCTGCCAAATGGCCCTATAAAAAAAGAGATGTTATTAGATTGTCTATTTTTTGTTAGTTTTTAGGAGCTCTTTATATGTGTTTGTATTTTTTTGTATGAGTGTGTATCTTTTTGGATATAAGTCATTTGTTGTTTTATGTATATTATATAAATTGTCCCCAGTTTAGCACTTTTCCTTTAACTTTATGATATGTTTTGTTGTGTAGACATTTTATATTTTATCTAGTATATTACAGTGTTGAATGATAGCACCTTTGTCTTGATTCTGATTTTAATGGGGAAGCTTCTAATATTTTTGTCATCAAATATGATGTTTGCTATTTCTGAAAAGTAACCTTTATTAATTTAAGAACAATTTCTTCTTTTCTAGCATGTCAAGAGCTCTTTTTTAAAATTTGAAATTTTATTAAAAAATCAGAAATGGCTATTAAATTTTATAATTTTTTTTGTATATTTTGAGAGGATCATGGAGTTATAGAATTTTCCCCTTTTATTCTGATAGAATAGTACATTTATTCAACAAATTTCTTGGTATATTTCATATTCCTGGAATAAATTCTGGTCACATATATTATAAAAGAATGTATGTTGGATTAAATTTACCAGTATTTTATTTAGAGTGTCTGTGCTTATTTTCACAAGTAAGAGTTGCCTATGGTTTGCTTTGAGGGGCTAGTCTTGTTAAGTTTTAGCCTCTGGGTTATATGACTTACTAAAATGAGACGGGAAGGCTTTCCACAGCTTCTGTTGTTAGAACCATTTAGGGAAAAAAAGATCATTTTTCTTTAAGGTCTGACAGAACTAACTCATAACATTTTCTAGGCCTTGTTAAGGGGATTATTTCCAATTAGTTTTTACATTTTTTTCCTTCTCTTTTTCAGTTCTGTCAAACTGATGGGAGAGGGGGAATTTTAACCACTCAATTTGGGCAATGGCAGCCCACTTGTGTGGGCTCTTGTGTCCTTCTGAAGTGTCACTGTCATTGTTTGAGCACTTCTTTACTTTCTGACACAGCAAGATGTTCCAGATTTTCCAGATTTATATTGTACTTTCTCTGTCCCAGCTCTGAAATTATTTCTTTAAAGAGTAGGTTTTTTGAAACAGAGATCTGAACACTGGAGATGCTCATTGCTACTGGGATGTTAATGCTCCTAGGCCATCTCAGCATCTCACTTTTTTTGTTGTTGTTATAACAAAATATTCTGGAAATCACTGGATAAACATTTCTAGCAACTGTATTCTTTTAAAATAGTTTCGTATTACTACATTTGGTAAATAGCCCATACCTTATTCAAATATTCTCCAGTGTAAGAATGTTTAGGTTGTTTCCAGTGTTTTGCAATTACAAACAATTCTGCAATGAATAATCTCATGTATATGTATTTTCATATTGTTGGAGGAATACCTTCAGGGTAAATTCTTAGGATTGTTGGGTAAAACTTAGTGCCAATGTAGTTTTGTTAGGTTTTGCCTAATTCCCCTCCAAATGTGTTGTACCAATTTGTATTCCCAACCTAATGTAGAAGAGTGCCTGTTTCCACAGAACCTCACCAACAGAACGTGTTGTTACTTCTAACTTTTCACCAATCTTACAGTATCCTGATGTTGTTTTAATTTACATTTCTCTAATTTCATGTGTTTAAGTTTACTTATGAACTACTTTTAGTATGGATTTTCTGTTCATATTTTTGCACATTTTTCTGTCAGGTTTTGGTCTTTTTTCACTCAATTTTTAAGTTTTTAACTTTTGAAATATAGTTGATTAACAATATTATAGTAGTTTACGATGTATAACATAATGATTAAATATTTTTATAGATTATACTTCATTTAAAGTTATTGCAAAATAATGGCTGTATTTCCCATGCTGCACAATATATCCTTGTTGCTTATCTATTTTATACTTAACAGTTTGTATCTCATAATATTCCATAGCCCTATCTCACTCCCCGCTTCCCTCTCCCCAGTGGTAACTACTGTTTTGTTTTCTTTATTTGAGTCTATTTCTGGTTTGTTATATACATTTGTTTTATTTTTTTAGATTTCACGTACAAGTGATAACATAGATATTTGTCTTTCTTCTGACTTATTTCTACTAAGCATAATGTTTTAAAGATTTCTGTTTTCTGCCTCTTTTTTGTGGGGAGAGGTAATTAGGTTTGTCTGCTTTTTTATTTATTTACTTAATGGTGGTACTGGGGATTGAACCCAGAACCTTGTGCATGTTAAACATGCGCTCTGCCACTAGATTTACCCTCTCCCCTTAACTAATTAATCTTTAAGATCAATCAGTTAATTAATGACCGTCTTGAATACGGTAGGTCTAGTAAGTATTTACCGTTCTAGTGTTACTACCAGATATAATATATTGTGGGACTGAAAATAGTGGGGGGTATTCATTGAAGTGATTTGAGATGATTTAACGGTATAAAGTTATTAAGTATATGATAAGAATTTTGGGCCTGGAAGGAACCTACGAGGAATATCTAGTTCGAATTCTCTAATTTTACCGAAGGGGGCCTAAGGGAAATGATTTGCCAAACTTTGGCATTGAATTAGAGGCCCCGTTGGAATTAGAACTGTGGTCTCCTGATATCCAGTCTAGTTTTCATTTGCCTGTACTGGGTTGAATAGCATCCTTCCTAATTCATGTCCACCTGGAACCTCAGAATATGACCTTACATGAGCTAGCATCTTTACCTATGTAATCAAGTTAAGATGAAGTCATACTGAATTAAGGTGGGCCCTAATCCAGTGAGCCTGATGTTTATAAGAAGGGAAAACAGAGGCACAGATAGAGACACACAGAGAGAATTCCATGTGAAGACAGAGGCAGAGATTGCAGTGATGCAGCTGCAAGCCAAGGATGCCAGGGGTTGGTGGTGACCACCAGAAACTAGAAAGAGGCAAGGAAGGAATCTCCTCTACAGGTGTCAGAGGTGCATGTCCTTGCCAACACTTTGATTTCATATTGCTAGCCTCCAAAACTCTGAGACAATAAATTTCTGTTGTTTTAGGCTACCCAGTTTGTGATATCTTATTATGGCAGCTCTAGGAACCTGCTACATTACCCCATGCTACTTCATTTAGAATAAAGAGATTCTTCTCTGAATATCGTTGAGAAATTATACAGGAAGTTAACTTGTTCATAACTGCAGGAAAGAGGTTTTTTCTGTTGGGTACATCAATATTAACTTTTTTATTCTCCTGTGTGCTTAGGTATTCTCGCGTGTCACTTAGGGGGTTACAGTATTGCTTCATCCTGAGGTTTTCAAGGAAGTATGTCAGAGTTTGCTTTTATTATTTTTAGAAATAGTTAATGGTGGTAGGTGTATGAAATGTGTGTGTGTGTGTGTTTGTGTGTGTGTATGTGTGTGTATCTTATGGGTTTTTCTGTTATCTGGATATTCTAAAATATTCTGCTCTTGTTTTCAGATTGCTGAAGCTAAAGGAGATGTTTAATTCTAAGTTTGGATCCATTCCCAAGTTTTATGTTCGAGCACCAGGAAGAGTCAATATAATAGGTATTTCAGAAGTTCCTTCTCTTAATTTTTTCCTCCTTTGGTAAGATCCAAATTTTTGTTACTACATCCAGGAGAACTGAAGAAATAGAATACTTCACATATATCCACTATAGCAAGATAAGCTTTTGCATAAGGAATACACTATCTTTCCCAGTCCATGTTATTAATGCTAATATTGTCGATTCATTTTTAAAGTTTATAAATTTGTTGAAGCCCAGTTGTTTCTTTGTTTTCATAAGAGATGAAAAGATTTTTTGGTGCTGCAGGTTAAATTTTTAGACTGCAGTGAGTAATTTTGATGGTTTTACATTTACTCATCGGATTAGAAGAATATAGGGAAATCCAGCAATTCCTTGCTTTTAAAAGTGTGGTGACCTGAAGAATGAGTACATTTTATCAAAAGAAAACAGAATAAGGAACTGAGAAAAATTCAAGGATCAAAGGAGGATTAGAAAGAAAACTTTCTATAATGGAAAGTGTAAACCTACAAAAAAGTAGTTGGAAAAATATAATGAACTTCCCATGTACCCAACATGTAGCTTCAATTATTATCAACTCAGGCAATATTACTTTATTTTGAAGCAAATAATGGACAATTTAAAAAATATGAGATTTTTGAGCATGGTAAATAAGGTGGGGAGGGGGGTTGAGTAAAGCCAGTGGAGAGAGAGAGAGATTGCAGGTACCTGAGAAGAGAGGAACTGATGGAGCAGGATTCCCAAGAGGAAAAGAAGGGCTGGTATGTAGAGCAGAGGAAGAGGACTACTTTGACTCTTCAGAAGACAGGAAAGCAAAAGATGCAGGTTGATGTAGGTAAATGTATAATTTTGTATAGAAGGTCAAGAGAGTCTTTGTTGGGGAGAGTTGGAGGCATTGAAAGTTTAAGGAGAAGGCAGAAATTTGAAATAGCTTTGTGAAGGATGGGAGAGGGAAATGACTAGAAAAACAGAAGGTTTCCTGGGCAGCACTGAGGTGTGTTAGAGCTGGAGACCACAGAACTGTAGTAGTACCAATCTGCAAAGCTGTTCATTTTCCCCCCTCAGCTAGTCTGAATTGCCTGTGTTTGATCTGGGTTTGGAGTTTTGTTTTGGATGAAGGTTATAAGGGAATGACAGTGGCTTCAGGAAGTTGCTGATATTGTCAGGAGAGTAGATGAAGTAATGCACCCTGGAATTTATGCTGGGTATAGTAAAAGAAAGAAAGGTAGGAGAGAGCCTTGCAGGCACAGAACTGAATCTAAAAAATAGGAAAGTAGGATAAACCGAGTAAGAGTAATGGCAGGATGGGAAGTTTTAGTAAAGAATGTGATATCTGAAACAAAAGTTTCACAGGTAGAAAAGTTCCAGGTGGTAAGAAGGTCTGTGGTCATTACTGGATTTGTTAAGGCCACGGAAGCAGATGGCTGACACAGGGAGGAGGTCAAGTTCTCTGGAGGTTACAGGATTAGAAAGCCGGGGCCTTGGGCTGGGTCATTTACCTGGGTTTTATCCAGGTATTGCAGGACAGGTGGAGTGAGATGCTAAGGTCTTCGGTGAGGAGCAGTGTCTAAGAGAGGCATAGATAAACGTGATGAAGATGAGAGGATGTGGCCTGGGCCTCTGAAGAACAGGACAGGAGAGTCCTGGAGACAGCAGCGTGGGAAGAGGTCACCCAGAACTTGCTATCGTGAGAGGACTGCAAGAAGCAGTATCCTCAGAAGAGAGCCAGGCTCCACTTAGTTTTGGGGGGGGGAGGTAAGGCTTCCAAACTAAGGATTTTCCTGAATAAGTCATTCTTATTTTAGTGAATGTATTGACTATTTTCTGATTCAAAAAAGAGGGGAGTATGTTCCAATGTAGTTAGTTAATGTTTGGGATGAAATGAATTTCAGTCTTTATGAAAAGCATTATTGTATTTTCTGTTGAAATATTCAAAGTGTAATCACCATTGTTATCCTTACTTACCGGCAGTTCCTACTCCCTCCCTGCCCCTCACCCGGTGTGTTTCCATCAGTTTTGACAAAGGGAGGACTCTTCAGTCTCAGAAGGCTTCATTCACACTGCAGCCTTCCCAACAGAACCTGGTGCCTCCCTAGAGTTCTCCTTTTTTAAATACGTGTTTTTTGCTTGTGAAGCACTGTTCTGTATTACTGTTTTTTTTTGAACGAAGGTAGAGAGAAAGACAACTTTGAAAACTACTTCTCTTTCTGTCATTGTCATTCCATTATAAAACCACTTAATTTTCTTATTTTAAAGGACACATCAGTGTAGGAACAAAAGACTTGCTACCTGCAATAATATGTAGAATGATATTTATTTTAAAATGTAACTATGCAGTTGAATTATCTTTCTCTCATTTTATGTTTCTTAGTTGATCAGTATCTATCATAGGAACAATCAGATATACAGACCTCTCCTGGGGAAGTATAACTGAGCTTGCTTAGCCCATCTTTCTTGAATTGTTTTTATTTTTAAATCTTATGAATAACAACCTTGAGTTTCAATGGTAACTTGGAGAAAACATTATGGAATAATAGGAAAAAAAAAAAACCCTCCTGCTGGTGACTCATAGAGGGATTAGAATGAAAAGGAACAGTGAAAAAAAATGTGGCAATAAATATACTTATGTTCATGTGTAACTGAAAAATTGTGCTCTACACTGGAATTTGACACAACATTGTAAAATGACTATAACTCAATAAAAAAAAGTTTCAAAAAAAAGAGAATGAAAAGAAGAGAATAGTTTGTTTTCTAAATTTGCCTGTTATATATTAAATAGTGCAGATAAACGTTTCTCTAGCTTCTTTTTCTTTATCCTAGCTATGTCTAGCACATTCAACACCACTAATCAGTGCCAGTCCAATTTGTTAGGCATTTGGTTAGGCCACAAAGATAAAGTAAAGCAAAATCTTCACCTTAAGTGATTTCCTTGGCTAGTAAGGAAGAGAGTGGGACTCACATAATGTTAATATTAGGGATAGGGTGTAAAGGCTTCCATGGTTCATATTTTAAAAGGTAATATAGAGGGTACTACAGAGGGTAGTGTAGCTCAGTGGTAAATCACCTTCTTAGCATCTGTGAGGTCCTGGGTTCAATCCCCAGTACCTCCATTAAAATTTCTTTTTTAATTACAAATTATAAAAAAAGTTAATACAAACGAGCAACAGACAAAGGAGACATTGCTTTTCTTGATGATCCACATAACTAGTCACAAAACATAAATATTTGAAGATGATTATTATGAATTAGAAAGTGAAAAAACTTAAGAATATTTAAAGAAGTTTAAAAATTAACAGAAACGAATAACTAGTATACTTATTCTAGCAAAAATTCCTGGCTCAGATGTCGGTGAGGAAATTGAATCACTTTATGCCCTTAGTATTTTTACTCTGTTAAAACCTGGCTTGTGGTCAAGCTTTTTCTGTATGTCGACTTACTTGAGTTTCTCTTGTTTCCTATGCTAGCAATGATAAGAAAATGCTTTCTCTTTATCCTAGGAGAGCACATAGATTACTGTGGCTATTCTGTTCTTCCTATGGCTGTGGAACAAGATATGTTAATAGCTGTGGAACCTGTGAAAACACACACTCTCCAGCTGGCCAATACCAACCCCCTGTACCCGTGAGTATTTAGAATTGCTACTGTATGTAGTAGGGGGTGTGTGCATGTGTGTGTTTTTGTGTTTGTACCGCAGTGAACTCCTTAGGAGATACCAAAGTTGTTATAAATCACTTAATTTATTGAAAATTTCTATCTGACTTCCAAAAGAATCTAAAGCTCACTAATTTACTTAATATTTGTTCATTTCGTTTACTTATTTATTTAGAAGCATTTACTGAAAACTTACGTGTCTGACATAGTTTTAGATATAGGGCCGCACAACAATGGAAATAACTCTGTCTTTGCCCAGAAGGTATTTATCATCTACTGAGATTAACTATCTCCAGCAAAGTCAGGGCTGCTGCCTTTCTTATATTCCTAGGGCACCCTCTAGTTCTCTTGTCACAGCACCTTACCATGCTGTTGTATCATTACCTGCTTACTTGCCTGTATCCCCCAGTAGATAGTAAGCCCTGTGACTTCAGCTACCGCTGCCTCTCCAATGCTCTAGCCTCAGACATAGCATCTGGAACATAATAGATACAAGTTTCTGGTACGCATGCTTTATCAAGGTACAGACATACTGTTTTTGTTGTTGTTTTTGGTGGGGGGAGGTAATTAGGTTTGTTTATTTATCTTTTAATGGAGGTACTGGGGATTGAACCCAGGACCTCGTGCATGCTAAGCACACACTCTACCACTGAGCTATACCCTCCCACACCTGTTGTTGTTTTTTAATTTTTGGTTTGCTAAGATTAAAAAAATCATTAATTGGTATTGGATTTAATTGTCTATTCAGTATTGAAGATCAGTTCTAAAGAATGTTGTGAATCACATTGATGGATTTTCTAATTTTGAACTGTCTTTGCATTTCTGGAATCTGGGTAAGCCCTATTTGCTTGTATTATGATAGATTTGATTTGCTAATTATAAAAAAAGATTTTGATATGTAATTGGCACATTATATTTTTGGCTTATTGTGCACTGGGCAGTTTGCCTGCAGTGATGTTCATTCATTCAGCAAATATTTTATGTGTGTTTCTACTAGGTTGTGCAAGGTAATAGAAATTCCTCTCTTTTATATGAAACTTATTGTGAAAAGTCTTTGTTTTCTCTTAATTTTGCATGATTGAGAATATATCTTATGTACATTTTGGACCCTTTAAAGAAAATCTTAAGATTACCTCAAACACAATTTTGTGTCATTGTAAACATCTCAAGCTGGGTACCATAATTTGTTATACTGATTTACTCAGATTCACTTAACCATTCCCACCATGGTGGTCAACGTGGAAAGTTTCATTTTTCACAAAAGCAGAATCTGAGACAGACCTGGAAGGAGATGTAGAGTATTTGGGAAATGATCCCAGGAGCGGTAGCTAAAGAACACAGAGAATGAGTTAGGGAAGCAGAGGTGAATTTCTAAGGCAGATAGCCTCTGCCGTAGGTAAAGGGCTTCATTCCACTAGGAACCCTAGGTAGTACACAGCATGCCTCCGAGAATTGTCCACGTACTGTGTAGCATGTATTGCATGAAGAACCTGTAATTTCTTTTTTTTTTTAAATGGAGGTACTGGGAATTGAACCCAGGACCTTGTGCATGGTAGACATGTGCTCTAACACTGAGCCATACACCCACCTCCCAAACCCATAATTTCTTTAATCACCATTGATGAGCATTTAGATCATTTCCAGTTTTTATGAATAGTTCTGCTATGAATATTTGTGTGCAAATCTGTGTGTGGACACATGTTTCTTTTTTCTTGGGTAAATACCTGGGAATAGACTGTCTGATTTATCTTGTTAAGAATTTGCCTAAAGTGGTTGTAGAATTTTACATTCCCACCACCAGTGTATGAGAGTTCCAGTTGCTTCACATCTTTGCTCATGTATCTTTTAAAAGTTTATCCACTCTCATAAATGTATAGTAGTATCACCTTGTGATTTTTAAGCTGTTTCTAATTTTGAAGGAGTTGGCACTTAAGTGTTTTTTTTGTTGCTGTTGTTCGTTTCTCATCTAACTTCATACATCTGTGCAAATCTCCTCCTCTGCTTTTCCTAATATACCACCACCCCTGCCCCCAATTCCTTCCTGGTTTTCTTTTCTTTGTGGTGTTTTCAAGATCTGCTTATCTAGGAACAGAACCTATTTGGTTTTGCTAACATTTTTTTTGCTTTTCAAATTCTATGACCTCTTGTTGACTATGGGCAATATATTTTAACTTTTATGGGTGACAATAAAGTGCTTGTGAGCTGGAGTTAAGGAGCTGTGTGTGTCCTTGGGGAGTCACTAAATCTCTCTGAGCCTTCAGGAAATCCTCCCCTTTCCATGCTAGTGTGCTGATTATAGAAATGATGCTGTATGGGCAGGCCACTCAGGATGGCTGTTCTCCTGTCCTCTGTATATCCCCCTACTCGACCAGTCCCTACCTCACCTGTACCCGATTCATAGGGCTTAATCAGTAACTATCTACATGCTTGCCCCCTGCCCCAGCTGCTGGTTTCCCTGGTAACTGATGAGCCAACCTGATGTTAATTCTGCCTATAAATGGTAGCTTCCCCCCCCCCTCCCCCGAGTAGTAAAGATTGCTGCCACGGCTTGCCGCCTGCCGTACACAGTAGCTTGTAGCTCCAGGACTTTTTGCTGCAGACGTGTAAGATCCCCTATCCAATAACCTCTGATGTCTCTGTCGCTGTCTTTGGGCTCTTACTTTGAGGTCTCGGTGGTGGGCAGCTACAAGGCCTGCAGGCCTGTGGGGTTCAGCCCAACAGATGCCCTCTTGGTCTTGCATCCCATCGCATGACTGGTGTGTGACTGCGAGATTTGTTTTCATGCTGTCTCAGCTAGCTTACAAATGCTTAAAAGATAAGCCCTCTTTGCCTTTTACCTTTATATTCCTGTGAATGCCTTCCAAACTCGAGTGGTCATTCAGTATTTTTCTTAGGAGACGCTATATCCATGTGATTAAGATAATCCGTGGAAGGCACCTACTACAGTGTCTGGCACATAGTAGGTATTTAGTAAATTATATGAAGAGAACTCAGTCACTATGGGGAGTGTTGCTTATTTCCTCATTTTTAAGTTGATCTCCCCCCTTTCCCATTTCACAGATTTTTTCCTTTGGTTAATTTAGAAGCCTATCTATCTATTTCTAATTTTGAGATAACTTTTGGTTTTCAAAGAAGTCACAAAAACAGCACAAAGAATTCCCACATGTCAACTGATGTGTCCTGAGTGTGTCATATCTAGGAGGCACGTGTTGTCCCTTTAAGTGTTGATGTTAGTTTTGATCATTTGGTTAAGGAGTTGTCTGCCAGATTACCACAAGGTTACTATTTTTCCCCTTTGCAGTGTCTGGAGGGGAAATACTTTGAGTTTGTGTAAATACCTTGTTTCTCATCAAATTTTTACTCACTGATTTTAGCATCCACTGATGATTCTTTCCTGAAACAGTTATCATGAAGTTTGCCAAGTAATGAGTTTTCAGTTTCCGTCATTTCTTCTGCATCTTTTAGTTGGCATTTTCTCTAAGGAAGAGCTTTCCCTTCTCCTTCATTTGGCTATGTATTCACTTGTTAGTTTATATCAGTAGAGATTTGTGGAATCTTGTTTTATTCAATGAGTTATTCTCCATTAGAATCATTATTTGTTTTGTTTCTTCCTTCTTCTTAAACTGTGCAGATGGTAAAATTGGATGGCTGCAGACTGTGGGGAAAGAAGGCTTTGAGTACTTCTGTTCTAGTAAGAGGTGTGCCAAACAGCAGGCCCAGAGGATAAGCATTTATGTGGTTTACACCAGCTTAACAAGGACCATCGTGTAATAAAAGTGATGTAGATTATGCTCAGATAGATTGGTTCTTCTCCCTTTCAGGAAATGAAAAGGGTCAGTTGGAAGTTTAGTTACTAAGGTCACTACGACTTCTCTTAACTTTTAGCAGCTGGTGATGTTTGTTGTTTTGGGGTAGACTGAAGTATATAGATTAGAAGTGGAAAATGAAATGTCAGTGTCACTGTCTTGGCACAAGATGGCAGCAGTCAGCCATCAATGCTGCAGCATGAGGCCTCGACTTAATGGTGCCTTTTGCTTTTGCAGGGACTTCAGTACCAGTGCTGATAACATTCAAATTGACAAAACCAAGCCTCTGTGGCACAACTATTTCCTATGTGGATTTAAAGGAATTCAGGTAAATCAGTTTATAAGGCACCTACTAGCAGTTGAGATTGTGATGTGTATAATATCAAGATTGATGTTATTTATTTTATTATTTTTGTCTCCTTTCAATACTAATTGATGTTTCTATTCTATTTTGCTAATTAATACATTTCAGGAGATGGGGTAGAAATGACTGTTTCTTAGTGGTGTTCATAGGGGGCAGGAGTGGCTGTGCGTAAGTCAGGTGTGTCTGACAAATATCTTTCCAGCTTTCCCACCTTTGTTCAAATTTTCTTTTAGAAGGTACATTCTAGCAATCTTTACATTTTGTTCTGGGGATATATAGGTGTAC